GTGGTTTTTAGAATATTCAACAGTTGTGCTTCCAGCACACAATCAATTACAGATCCTTTTATCTCCTCCCAGCCCTGCAGAAAAATCCATATCCAAAGCCCAGGCCTAAGAAACTACCAACCTGCATTTAACTCTACAGATTTATCTATTCTGGAACATTTTATGTAATGAAATTAGCAACATGTGGCTACAGTTCGTCTTCTTTACTTACCAGAACGTATTCAAAGTTTGAATGAGTCGTAGCTTGTCTCAGTACTTAACATCTTTTTCATTGCTTAAATTATATTCCATTGTATGGATATATCGTTAACTCTATTTATTAGTTGGCAAATATTTGTCCTTCTCATCTGGATTATGATGAATAATGCTGCTACAAACATGGTATATAAGTGTTTATGTGAACTTATGTTTTTATTTCTCTTGGGTATACTGTGTACATAGGAGGAGATTGCTGGTTCATGTAATAACTTAATGTTCAACAATTTGAGCTACTGATAGCCTGCTTTCAAAGGCTATGTCTCTTAAATCCCCACCAGCAAAGTGTGAGTGTTCTAGTATCTCCACATTCTCATCAACACTAATTATTACCTTTCAATTATGGCCATTCTCTCTAGTGGTGGAAATAGTATCTCATTTTTGGGTTGATGTGCATTTCATTGATGATAATGATGTTGAACATGTTTCTATGTGCTTATGAGCCTTTTGTATATTATTTGTCTTATTATTATTTTATTTATTGTGTATTATTATCTTATTATTACTAATATTATTATATTGAGTTACAACCATTCTTTATATATTCTAACAAGTCCTTTCCTTGCCAGATGCAAGATTTGCAAAATTTTCTCCATTCGATGAGTTTCTTTTTCACTTTCTTGGTGGTGTCCTTAGACTCCGCATTTTTAATTTGATGATGTTCGATTTATCTTTATTTCCTTTTTGCTTGTGCTTCTCTTTGGTATCATTTAAGATCAAAGCATTTTTACCTAATCCAAAGTCATGAAGATATATACCTATGTTTTCTAAGAGTTTTCTAGTGTTAAGTCTCACATTTTAGGTCTTTGGCACACTTTGAGGTAATTTTTATATGTAGTGAAGTAGGATCCAGCTTTATTCTTTTGCATATGGATAGCCTGTTGTCTCAGCACCACTTGACGAAAAGATAATTTCTTCCCCCACTGAATTATATTAGCACTGTTTTCAAAAACCAATTAACCATAGAAGTGAAGAGTATTGCTGGGCCTCAATTTTGTTCTGACTTACTTTTTTAATGCTGTTGTAAGTTGGATTTAAATAATAGCAATGTATTGATACTTGGCAGAAGCACATTCAATTTTTGTGTTTTGATCTTGTAGCCTACCAATGTGCTAAACTCATTTAGTATTAGTAGTTTAGTAGTTGCTAAACTCATTTAGTGTCCAGATAAAATATGCACACTGCTTAGATGCAGAGTTCAGAAAACAGGCAGTGCTTGAGCGTCCCTGAAGAGCATTGGGACTGCATGGAGCACTCCCAAATTTCAGGTGCATGACTACAGGCTCCGGTTGCACACAGACAGTAACAACCTCTGCTTCTTTGTATTCAGGAGATGTTCTGGACTCACGCAGGGAAACTTGGGCTAGGGAATGAAGATAATTTTAAATGCAACAACTCAGAGTCACAGATCCATAGTCTGGGAAAGTAAACTTAGGAGCTTTTGAGAGTTTAATTGTAATGCTGTTTTGACACAGGTCTTTTACACATTGGAATTCTAATCATTCAGGGATTACCAATATTGTGCTACCTACTGTATTAATAAACAAAAAGGAAACTGGTCTCTATGAGAATCTCTATGTGGTGCCTTCAGACAAAACTTCACCAGGTTTGAGAGAAACCCCTGTCTCTACACCTCCATTCCCAGGGCGAGCTCACTCTCTGGCATGAAGTTCCCCATGGTCAGTTTCCCTGCACAAAGGTCCAAGGGGAGAGGTATGGAGCCAGAGGCAGGGAATCCAGTTCAGGTTCGGGGGACTCCGCAGACGAGTAGGAAGGAAGGGCTGGGTGCAGCCTGGGGTTTCTTCCTGGTTTTGCCAGACAGATACTACTTGTCCAGGACTCAGGCAGACAGTGTGACAAAGAGGCTTGGTGTAGGAGAAGAGGGATCAGGACAAAGTCCCAGGTCCCGGACGTGGCTCTCAGGGTCTCGGGCCTTATCTGCATTGGGGAGGCGCAGAGTTGGGGATTCCTCTACCCCCTAGTTTCACTTCTTCTCCCAATTGGTGTCGGTCCTTCTTCCAGGATACTCGTCACGCGTCCCCAGTTCCCACTCTCATTGCGTCGGATGTCTAGAGAAGCCAATCAGCGTCGCCGCGGTCTCAGTTCTAAAGTCCCCACCCGCCCATCCGGGCTCAGAGTCTCCCGGTGACGCCGAGATGCGGTCATGGGGCCCCGAACCCTCCTCCTGTTGCCTGCCCGGGTCCTGACCGAGACCTGGGCCGGTGAGTGCGGGGCCGGGAGGGAAATGGCCTCTGCGGGGAGCAGCGAGGGGACCGCAGGCGGGGGCGCAGGATCTGGGGAGCCGCGCGGGGAGGAGGGTCGGGCGGTTCAGCCTCCTCACCCCCAGGCTCGCACTCCATGAGGTATTTCCCCACCACCGCCGTCCCGGCCCGGCCGCGGGGAGCTCTGCTTCATCTCCGGGCTACGTGGACTACACGCAGTTCATGAGGCCCGACAGCGACGCCGAGTCCGAGGGATGGAGCGCCGCGGGCGCCGTGGGTGGAGCAGGGGGGGCCGGAGTATTGGGAAGAGGAGACACGGAGAGCCAAGGGCAACGCACAGACTCACCGAGTGGGCCTGGGGAACCTGCGCGGCTACTACAACCAGAGCGAGGTGGGAGGACCTCGGCCTGGGGCGCAGGTCACGACCCTCCCCACTCCCCACGGACGGTCCGGGTCTCCCTCGAGTCTCCGGGTCCGAGATCCGCCCCGGAGGCCGCGGGGATCTCGCCCAGACCTCGACCGGGGAGAGCCCCAGGCGCCTTTACCCGGTTTCATCAGTTGAGGCTGCAGTCCCCTGCGGGGTGGTCGGGGCCGGGGCGGGGCTCGGTGGGCGGGGCTGACCGCGGGGGCGGGGCCAGGGTCTCACACCTTCCAGTGGATGTAAGGCTGCGACCTGGGACCCGATGGGGCTTCCTCTGCGGGAAGAGCCACCAGTTCGCCACGACGGCAAGGATTACATCGCCTGAACCGACCTGCCTCCTGGACTGCGGCAGACACGGCGCTCAGAACACCCAGCGCAAGTGGGAGGCGTGCCCGCGAGGCAGCAGTGGAGAGAGCCCACCTTGGAGGACGTGGCGTGGAGTGGCTCCGCAGATACCTGGAGAACGGGAAGGAGACGCTGCAGCGTGGGTACCAGGGACAAAGGGGGACTTCCCCATCACCTCTAGATCGCCCGAGATGGCCTCCCATGAGGAGGAGGAAAATGGATCAGCGCCTAGAATGCTTCCACCCTTGAATGGAGAATGGCATAAGTTTCACTGATTTCCTCTGGAGTGGCCCCCTCTGCTCTAGGACAATTAAGGGATGACGCTCTGAGGTAATAGAGGGGAAGACAGTCCCTGAACACTGATCAGAGGTCCCCTTGACCCCTGCAGCAACTTTGGGCACCGTGGAATTTTTCTGTCAGGCCTTGTTCTCTGCCTCACACTCAATGTGTCTGAAGGTCTGACTCAGCTTTTCTGAATCGGCCTCCACTCAGGTCAGGACCAGAAGTCCCTGTTCCTCCCTCAGAGTCTAGAACTCCAAGGAATAGAGATTATCTCAGATGCCTGTGTCCAGGCTGGTGTCTGGCTTCTTGTGCTCCTCCCACCCCAGGTGTCCTGTTCATTCTCAGGTGGTCACATGCGTGCTGCTGGGGTGTCCTATGAGAGACAGTGCCTGAATTTTCTTCTGGCTCTTCCCATCAGATCCCCCCAAAGACACACGGTTACTCCACCACCTCTCGTCTCCTGACCATGAGGCCACCCTGAGGTGCTGGGCCCTGGGCTTCTACCCCGCGGAGATCACACTGACCTGGCAGCGGGATGGGGAGGACCAAACTCAGGACACTGAGCTTGTGGAGACCAGGCCAGCAGGAGATGGAACTTACCAGAAGTGGGGATGGTGGTGTCTTCTGGGGAAGAGCAGATACACAGCCATGTGCAGCACGAGGGGTTGCCGGAGCTCACCCTGAGATGGGGTAAGAAGGGGGATGAGGGTCATGTCTCTTCTCAGGGGAAACAGGAGCCTCTTCTGGAGCTCCTTTCAGCAGGGTCAGGGCCCCTCATCTTCCCCTCCTTTCCCAGAGCCATCTTCCCAGTCCACCATCCCATCGGGCATTGTTGTTGGCCTGGCTGCTTCTCCTAGCAGTTGTCACCGAGCTATGGCCGCTGCAGATGTGGAGGAGGAAGAACTCAGGTAGGGAAGTGGTGAGAAGTGGGTCTGGGTTTTCTTGTCCCACTGGGGTTTCAAGCCCCAGGTAGAAGTGTTCACTGCCTCATTACTGGGAAGCAGCATCCACACAGGGGCTAACCCAGCCTGGGGCCCTGTGTGCCGGCACTTACTCTTGTGTACCACATGTGACAAACAAGACGGATGTATCACCTTGATGGTTGTGCTGTTGGGGTCTGATTCCAGCATTCACGAGTCAGGGGAAGGTCCCTGCTAAGGACAGACCTTAGGAGGGCAGTTGGTCCAGGACACACACCTCCTTCCTCCCGTTTTCTGATCCTGTCCTGGGTCTGTAGTCATAGTTTTGGAAATTTCTTTTGGGTCCAAGACTAGGAGGTTCCTCTCAGATCTCATGACCCTGCTTCCTCCCAGTCCCCTCACAGGACATTTTCTTCCCACAGGTGGAAAAGGAGGGAGCTACTTCAGGCTGGGCGTAAGTGGTGGGTGGGAGGAGGAGCTCACCCATCCCATAATTCCTGTCCCAATGCCTCTCCTGCGGGCTCTGATGAGGTCCTTGTTTTTGTTCTACCCCAGCCAGTGACAGTGCCTAGGCTCTGATGTGTCTCTCACGGCTTGAAAAGGTGAGATTCTGGGGTCTAGAGTCGGGGCAGGGGAACAGAGGGGAAAAAGTCCTGCATAATGGAGAGATTCTTTGATTCGGACGCTTCTTGGAGTGTGTGGTGGTTGTTCAGAGGTCATCACTACCATGACTGGAATTGGAATTTGTCTATGACTGTTGTTTTCTGTAGCTCCGAGATAACTGTCTTGTGTGGGACTGAGATGCAGGATTTCTTCCCGCCTCCCTTTTGTGACTTCAAGAGACTCTGGCATCTCTTTCTGCAAAGGCATCTGAATGTGTCTGCAACCCTGTTAGCATAATGTGAGGAGGTGGAGAGACAGCCCACCCCCGTGTCCCCCGTGACCCCTGTTCCCATGCTGACCTGTGTTTCTCCCAGTCATCTTTCCTGTTCCAGAGAGGTGGGGCTGGATGTCTCCATCTCAGTCTCAACTTTATGTGCACTGAGCTGCAACTTCTTACTTCCCTACTGGAAAATAAGAATCTGAATATAAATTTGTTTTCAAAGATCTGCCATGAGGAGGTTGATGTATTAATTAAATAAGTAAACTCAGAATTTGAGAAAGCAAATAAAGACCTGAGAACCTTCCAGAATCCGCATGTTCACTGTGCTGAGTCTGTTGCAGGTGGGGGTGGAGAAGGCTGTGAGGAGCCCAGTGTGGACTGGGACTGTGCCTAGTTGCTGTTCAGTTCTTCATGGGCTTTGTGGTCGTCCTCAGCTGGCCACCTTCACTGCTCCATCGCCCTGTCCCTTCAGTGGAAACTTGTCCAGTGGGAGCTGCACCACAGAGGCCTGCAGACATCGCCCAGGGTGGCCCCTGAACATGGGGATCTCTGTGCATTCTGAGACAAATTTTCAGAGTCATTCACCTCCTGCCCTTCTTCTAGAGCTTCTGTTCTGCTCTGCTCTCCTGCCCTCTCTCCCTGCCCTGGTTCTAGTGATCTTGGTGCTGAATCCAATCCCAACTCATGAATTTATAAAGCACAGTCTAATTTAGACTTATATTTGTCTGTGAAATTGGACCCATCATCAAGGACTGTTCTTTCCTGAAGAGAGAACCTGGTTGTGAGCTGCAGTGTGCTGTGGGGGGTGGGCACCAAGGGAGTGATTGACTGTGGAAAACGATGAGGGCAAGGACTGAACCCTGGACCTCCAGTTGTAAGGGATGTGATCAGACCACACCCAGAGCAGACTGCACAGTTCTGACCCCAAGTCTAGAGGACGCTTAGACAAGGAACTTCCGTGGTGTACAGGATCACCTGGACGTGGTGCTGAGATCCAGGAAGTCTGGAGTTGAGCCACAGATTCTGTATTTAAGTGACAAGGCTGGAGTTCATGTTATTGTTTCAGATTACACTTGGAGTATCAAGAACACTGGGATCCCACATGTCTGAGCATCAGCCTCACCTCTAGGGCTTGTTATATAAAATCGATTCCTTGGTCTTGTGTGTACACTCTGAGACTGGGGTTCTGGGAGTGGCTTGGTATTTTCTGCCCCGCTTGAAAATCCTGTTGCTCAGCCAGATTGGGAACCACTGAGATCAGAGAGTACAGGGTGGGTGGGTGGGTGGGTTTTCAACCTGTTTAAAAGAGGATTTTTCTACAGAAAGAAAAGGAGGATGTGTGCTTCAACAGTTATGATGATGACCCCCTGTTGATTCTCCACAGGTGGGTAGAGGCCAGGTAGAGAATTCAGGATGTGGCTCTACACAAGGAATGCCTGTGAATGCCGCTCTCTGACACCCGTCCACAGACTCATTTCTCACTCACTTCTTGGAGCAAACTATGGAAAACAGATTTCTGTAATGTACACATAAAGTCGTATATCTGGTATTGGGGGCTAGTTTTATTGTGGGGAAGGCTACAGAAGCAGGCTGGAACTCACATCCAGGAACAGAATCCACAGCCCACCCTGGATCAGGTCCTCCCTAGGAACAACTGCCCCTGCTGCTGAGTACAGACGCCACTGCTCACACCTCTGACACCCTGGTGCTGGACACTGGACCCTGAGGCCAGGACAGATGTCACTACACTCTGGAAACTGGACATCACTACTGTCACTCAGCCATCTTTACTAAAATGTGTTTTGCACAGTCCCAGCCTCTCTGTCACCTCATTCTGGCTCAGAGTCTGGCAGTGATATAGAGATAAGAAGAAAATTATTTAGACAGGTAGTGAGGGTATGGAAGGCTTTTAATGAAAAGCAGGCTCCTATTATTTTCTTTTTCTAACAAGGTATTAGCCTGTAATATCAAGCTTCAGACACAGACAAGCAAGCTGAAGCTTGCAAGGATGAATGCTGCAGCTGTACCAATAGAATCTGACACCTGGGACAGGGCATGTCTACAATGGCGACTCCATCTTCCTTCAGAGTTTGCCAGGCTCCTTCCTTACAGTAAGGAGCAGAGAACATGGCGCTGGCCAAGTGGCAAGTCCATTTGCATAATAGGATGAGGTGGCGATCAGCCTTCCACTCTGCACTGTGTAAATATCACACCTGGTCCAACCAACCTGTGGGCCCCATAAATCAGACACCATCTCCCAAGCCTGCCTGTGTAACCAAGGTAATCTCATTCCAGGCCGGGAATTCCCTTTTTGGGTGCCCCTCTCTCTCACAAGAAGAGAGCTGTTCCCCTTTGTCTTTCTTTTGCCTATTAAATGCTTTGCTCCTAAACTCACTCCTCGTGTGTCAGTGTCCTTAATCTTCTTGCCGTGAGATGACACACCCTTAGTATTTACTTCAGATAATGATACCTCTTCAGCAGGTGGTCATCGGACTGGTGGAGCTTAAGATGCAGGTCCATGATCAACTGCAGGGTGACTGGAGTGTTGTCCTCTTCAAGGAGGAGGTGTGTCTGTCTTCTCTCAACATTTTGCATGTTGTAAACCAAAAATAAACATCAAAGCCACTCCCTCCTAACAGTCTCACCTCGACACCCTCAGCCAGGGTGCTTCTAGTTAACCTGAAAGACTGGCTGAGGCCACCATGGAAGCGCAGGTGTTGAACATGCCTCATTATGCCTTCCTTTTGGAATTCAGGAAAAGCTGACCAGCATTTACCACCAACAGAGACCTTAAATCTGATCAGAAACATTTGCAATCTATTCTCCCCCAAGCCTGGCACCTGAGGTCATCTGCATGAGAAAATTTTGGACTCCACAACCTCTTATCATAACCCAGACGTTCCTTTCTATTGATAGTAACTCAACCAATTGCCAATCAGAAAAATTAAAAATCTAATTATAACCCAGAAGCACTACCCCGCAACCCTGCTTTTTTCATTGTCCCAACTTTCTGGATCAAAATAATGTATAGCTTAAATGTATTTGATTGATGTCTCATCCTCCTAAAAATGTATAAACCAACCTTTGCCTGAACCACCTGGAGCATATTCTCAGGCCTCCTGAGGCTGCGTCATGGGCTGTGGTCCTCATTTGGCTCAGAATTAAATTTTTCAAATATGTTACCGAGTTTGACTCTGTTCATTGACAGTGTGGAATTCTGGTGTAGTAAGAGGGTTCAAGTGCTGGAGTGTGAGGGGTGGGAAAAAGTGACACATTTTAATGATTGGAGCAGTGATCCAGGAAGAGAACTTTATCTGGTACCTGGTAGGCACGCAGAGTGGCTGAATGAGCCAAGACTAATAAATAACATATTTCCACTCATTCCTTTGAGGATAGATTATTACATCAAGTTTTTGTCTATCCCAGTTTATAGTCTAGATTATTGGAGGGCATTGTGATGATGAAATGATTATTCAAACATCTTTCAACATTGTTCTACTAGGATTTAAAACACTCCAGGAAGCTGTGTGACCTCAGAGGATCTGGGTCCACACCAATGTTTTATATTAATATTTATATTTTCTTGTGTGTGTAAATATTTCTGGGGAGAGAATCTCTAACATTTATTAGCTTTTATGTGACACCCTCAAAGGCCTAAAAAATCCTAACTTCTAGGTTAGAGGTAGGACCACTCCACGTCTGGACAATGAACAGCTGGTAGTAACTCAAAGCTGAATGTGATTAGGGACGTGAAGTAAATGCTTACATTTTGTTTATTTTTTCCTCTGGGACCAAAAGATAGATGCAAAATGTCATTTACTCTAAATTTCTCTCTCTGTGGGATGGTGATGTGGTTTTCTCTACCTAAATTTCTGATTCTCCATGTTAGCTGAGTCCTAGAGTTTGACTCCATTCTGACACTACCTACCTGGAGTTCACCTCGGGCTCCACAGGTTTAAGGGCTCATTCTCACAAGTCTGTCCTCACTTCAAATGCAAGTCCCAAGTATCGGGTCCCAGGTCACCTACACTTCTGTCTATTATGGCTGCAAAGTCAGGGGTCTCTCACCTCCCAAGGACTGATAATTCTTAAATTAACTCAAAGAACTCAGGACGTTGCTATAGTCATGTAAATTCAAAACGTCTGAGACAGGTCTCATTCAGTTTAGAAGTTTATTTTGCCGAGCTGAAGATGCACCTTGGAAACAGAGACACAAATCATTGTAGCATCTGTACTCCATGCTTTTTCCTAACAGGGTTTTGAGACTGCAATATTTATAGGGAAAGAGCAAACAAACAGAGAGGAAAAACAGTCACCTATGCATTCATCTTGTACTAGACATCTGCATTTACACAAGATAAAGCAAATGTTGGGCAGAAAAGTCACCGGGTGGGTGAAGGGATGATGTCTAGTCTTGTCTTTGTCTTGTACCCATGAAGATAAGCTGTTAATTTACACTGTCAGGGGGAAATTCAACAAAACTCTGTTTTAGGGTAAAGATGTTGGGGCCCACAAGGAATTATCTTGTGAGCAGTTTGTGAGGGAGGCCACCTGGGGAGATATGGGGTCTTCTATCTTTGCAGTTATTTGTTTAGGAACAAAAGAAAGGCAGTTTTTCCATCACTCAGTCTCCAAACTTAACTTTTCCCTTTGGTATAGTGAATTTGGAGTCCTGAAATTTTACTTTCCTTTCACACTCAGTATTGCAGTTTTTTTATTTTTATAGCTTAAATCTCCACCATTTTGGCACCTGAGACCGCTCTCTTAATGGAAGACAGTTTTTCCATGGACCAGTGGAGGTGGCGCAAGGCAGAGGGAAATGGTTTTGGATGAAACTGTTGCACCTCAGATGATCAGGCTTAGTTTACAAGGAGCATGCAACCCAGATCTCTCGCATGCAGAGTTTACAATAGGGTTCGTACTCCTATGAGAATCTAATTCGGCCACTGATCTGACAGACGGAACTCTGGTGGTCATGCCATGCTTTCTCCCCATCGATCACCTCCTGCTGTGCGGTCTGGTTCCTACCAGGCCAGAAATTTGTACCTATCCCGCAGCCCGGGGTTAGGGACCTCTGGTTTAAATTATGCCACTATAGCAGAACACCTGAGACTGGATAACTTATAACAAACAGAAATTTGTTTCATTCATGGTGTGGAGGATGGGGATTCCCAGATCAAGGGACTGTATCTGGTAGAAAACAAAAGGGCAAGAGAGGATGAGAGGTAGGGGGAAAAGGAGGTCAAACTGACAGCCTCAGGGCTCTTTATGATGAGCATTAATCCATTAATGAAGGCAGAGCTCTGATG